TGGAAACACATAAAACATAAAAATATACATATTTCCAAACATTTTCATATAAATTTCTCTAAAAACAAAAGTGTAGAATTCAAATTAGTAGTAATTTTGTCACTAAAATTGAAGTATATACCACTACTATGCTATACAGGGTAATTTACGTATTTTATTACAATTTCTAGCAACCAAAAATAATTTTATTCGATAGTTTATACATTCAACAAGAATTCCTGTGAGTTTTATCCATAAATATTGTCTCAAAGTGAAAATATAGCAAAATTTGCAATATAGCAAAAAATTTGCTAATTTGCAAATTTTCCCGCCATTACGGTCCCGAGCGAACGGGAGTATAACTAAGCCATTAATTTTCATGTAAGTTTTATAGTTTAGAACTTAGGATTAGTTAATAATATCAATAAAAAGATTTTAATAAATAAACGTAATATAAGCATAAACTAAACGCAATGAGGACTATCGCGTATGAATTCGCCGCTAGATGTAGAGGCACTACCGCTAGTGTAGAGTGAGGTCTCCGATATGTCAAATGTCGCTGTTAGTAGTAGGTGGGCTACGCGTGTTTATTTCTTTTAGAATAATATTGTCAATATGTTGCAAATCCTGAGATTAATTATGGCCAATATGAGTTACGGGTCAATGAATGTCAGTGCTTTAAAAGCGGAGGTAAGAAAAAGAGGTGCAAAATTAAGTGGGTTGAAAGAACAGTTAATTCAGAGGTTAGTTTGTTTACTATTTACAAATACATTTTTTGTCAAAATTATGCTTATTTACCGAGTTTACAGCAATGTTTTCTTTTTACAGACTTAAGGACTGTGATAGAAATAATAATTTAAATAGAAACATAGAAGATGAAATACTACAAAATGATTTGGCGTATATTGCTGAGTGGCCTTCATACAGTTTGTATAGCAGTATAACATCGAAAAGTGTATCACCTAACTTGGATATAGTGAATATTACCACTTACTTTTTAGAGGTTTACAAAGACAATGTGGGAAAGACTGAGTAAACTGCAGTTCACAAAAAAGGCTATAATATGATGATAAATGAATATTTAGTGGCTCTAGTGATATGTACAGAAAATAATTTACTTTTTTTATAAAGAACAGGTCCACTCTGAAAACATGAAAGCATTATCATATTTTTTGTATATTGCCTTTGAATCTGATGGAAAAATAGTTCAGCCTATGTGTGAGTGTGCTCCTGGTAAAGGACCCAAAAGCAGTTTGTAAGCATACAGCTTGTGTATGTTATTCAATTTTACGATTTAAGGAGTAGTCTGAATGGAGTATTAAGAAAACACCCATAGAAACAGAAATGGCATGAGCCAAAGAAAAAAAGCTGATTTCATCACTTAAAACGCTGAAGATCTTCCACTAGAGATACAATAATACAATGTCACAAAACGAAAACGTAATAATATGTGTTTTGATCCATGTCCTGATAACACTTGTGGCACTATACAATGGAATGAGTACGATAGGAACAGTATAATATACTATTGCTCTTCAGAGAAAACTTTCTTTGGTATAAGCGGTGTGTTTGAAGTGGCTTTCTTGCATGGAATATCTAATGACCATGATTAGCTTAAACTACTTAAATATGGCTTCTGCGCTGATGGTTGTGAGTTTTATTCTCACCAAGGACAAACATTTGTGTGATGAACATAGATGTTTGGTCTGTGTTTTGTGTTTGTTTGTATTTACATTTTAATTTTAGAAAATTCGTTTTAAATTATCTCTAGTATGTACGCATAGTATCTCAAACTAGACAATGCTAATTTAGATGATTCTAATATGTATAATGATGTAAATGTTAATAATCTTGTATTGTATGAAATATTTGCTAGAACTCTTATACATTGGTTTGAGCTATAAATATTTTGGATTTCTGTGCAGTTTCCCTACAACGGTATATGGTTAACGCTTGCCATGCAAAGGGCATTACTCTTAAATGTTGCTAAACCTGGGACACTCATTAGGTGAGTTCAACTAACAACAAACAGCCCTTTTCCTCTACAACTTATTCACACAACAGATTGAGCATATATAGCTATTTGGAAAAGGTTTTCTGTAAGGTGGAGGCAACCAATTATTGTATCTCAAGAACCATTCTCCAGCTTGGGTTGCTCAAATTCAATCAGGAATCTCGTTGTATCCTACCCATTATCTTGTTTGTGTTTCTTTCATTCTTGAAAATGTTGGGCACAACTTATGACTATCGAACTTAGTGTTTAATTTGTATTTCATCAATATTAATTTTATATCTATGGCCATCTCATGAATAAATTATTTACAGATGTCATCCATGAATGAAGTTTAATGGGATAAAGCTCGAGATTTGAGCTTACATGTACTAGAAGGATCACAAGAAAAATCCCAGCATATTGTGTTGTCCAATATAAGAATTTCCGCTTTCATGCAATACATACACTAGAGGTATCCCGAGACAGAATAGATGGTTTAAAACGAAAACAATCTTGATTGGGCGGGACGCAATCAGCAGTTATTGCCGTAAACTGCATTGTAGGCTTAAGAGCAGTGGGATGCTACCCACATGTTATTAGTATTATTTGGTACCTACGCCATGCTCGCCATGATGGTATCACCCGGCCTGCCCCCTTCTTAGATGAAGTTTTATAAAGAATTCATTAATTATAAGTACAATAAAATAAATGAACTTAAAAAACAAAATATTTTTTATTTACCTACACTCGAAACCCCATCAGAACTTCATCATTATCAAATTGTTGCAGTCCACTGCTGAATATAGGTATCTCCTAATTCACAACACTGAGTAGATACCGATTCTCATCTCAGTCTACCTACTTAATTGTAGAACCACGCTGTAGCTATAATATAGTTGTAGCACGATTGAGTCTACTCGATCGGGGAAGAACCACGCTCTGACAGAATACCAGTGTAAAATAGCAGCTTAATACTGCTGTGTTTCAAATGGTAAGTGTACAGATCCGGAGACCCTTTTTTACTGGAAATGAGACATTCGGTCCTAGTCCTCAGAGGTGACAAAGCATCTGAATTTTGATCCTAAATAGAGGATAAATGTAGCTGTCTATGGGCCACAGCATCCACTAACCATCGGGTGGACTATCTGTTCGATTGTCACCCTTATTCTATAAAAAATAATAGTTAGTAAAGCACTACAGAGTAGCGAAAAGCAATATAGAATATTTACTTTATGACAAAAACGTTTATTTGCCTATATGTAACGATCTACATAGGTACACGAGGAGAGGTTTTGGCCGTCGACGGATTGTCGCTCCTGTTTTGTTGCTTGATTAATGGTTTGAAGTAGATTTGGATTCGTAAAAGTGATGCGATTTTGTGAATAGTCTGCGCGTGTGAACTATTAGAGAAAACGACGAAACAAGTGGTTTGATGTTGATATAATCTCCCAAAAACTGTGACGCAAAAAGTGACGCATCAGCATATTGTGATGAAAAAAAATATAAAAACGAAGATTACGAAAGAAATGATAGGCTCAGAAGGGCTAGAACCCAGAGCCGTAAAGCCAGTTAAATAAAAAAAATGTGACACTAGTTCATATAGTCATATATATCAGTCTATGGTCAGTCAGTATCAGTTATGTAGATAATCTTAAAAATTAAAACTGGTTATAACTTTTATCTCCCTAGTTCTAAAATTTAAGAATTTAAAAGGGATTTGTCTATCCTACTATCTACCAATTAAAACCAAAAATATACCAAACCACGAAATTTTATAAGCGGCACGAAAGTCCTATACAAGCCTGCCATTCCCCTTTATAAAGTTATATTTATTTTTCTATTCCTAAAAATAAATTATAAAGACATGGAATTAGACATAGAACATACGTATTATTGGCATCAATGCACCAACAAAGTAAACAGAAAACAAACGAGATAAAAAAAAATTAATCCTGCACTCGTTTTCTTTAAATCGAAGCACATCATTGAATGCTCTGCCGTTCGGCGGCAGAAATAAGTAAGTAAATAGTGACCATGTGGATTTCTGGACCGAGAAGAAACCCTACCAAAGAATATTACTAGGAATATAAGGCACTTGGCATTTCTTAAAAAGCAATCATATAATTGGAGCAAAATCTCCTAACACAGGTATATTTTTTACTTTAAAGGAGATTCCGGACTTGTTTAAAACTGTACGATTTATGTACTGAAATAAAATTTATTTTATTTATTAATTTTATAAATTACATATTTTTAATAAGAATGAATAAAATAAAGATTTAAATCAGTTTATATTTTATTTACAACACAACTTTAACTAACACTCGAATATTTCGGTGCAACAACAATAATTCATCGATTATAATAAGGATTAGTCATTAATTACTCCGTATAATAATTTGATTGGATTAAAAATAGTTTATGAGCCATTAATTAATCACTGTTTGATTATTACAATGTAAATATCTTGTGGTTCATATATTTAATACTTAAATTGATGTACTCTATAAATATGGTAGCACAAAGCGCGCTAGGTTAGTCCCGATTGAGCGGTCGAACCGTATAGACATTTCTAAATATGTCATTACGCTCTCAGTCGACTAAACGAGGTTTTATTTAGAAAATTGAAGATGAGTGATCACCAGGAAACTAACATTAGTGACGGCAGCACAGCTGAGGTCACTAATGTTTCACTTTTTAAAAACACAAAGGAGCTCGGTCCTCCGTTAAATATATATACGTTTTTTTTTTTTTTTTTTTTTTATATATATATATATATTAGTTTAGTGGCGGTGTAAGAATATTTAGTACTCGATATCATTCCGTGTGTGTCATAAGATGCGACAACGGGAAACAGGAGATAGGAAACAGCATCTTCCTGATGAAAACTTAAAATAATAAAACCTGTGGTTGCCAACCCGCCTGCCAAGCGTCGCAACTATGGAAAATCCCCCCACTTGGCCATCTGTGGGGGAGGCTACCTTCAACAGTGATTTTGTAGGTTGTAATGTGTGGATGAATATTGTAACTAATTTGAGAGTGCAAATTGTTCCTCTTCTTTACTCTCTTCTTTGTTCGTTTCTTTTAAATATCTGTCATCCGGCAATAAGGCAGCTATGAATGCTGATGCTGAAACAGGACAAAATTATGTTTTTTTTATATAGGATAGGGTAACAAACGAGCACACTGTCCACCTGATGGTAAATGGTTGCTGTGGCCATATACACATAGACAGACATATAGACATCGACCTCGATTACGAATCAAAATGCAGATGCGTTATCACCCGTGAGGACTAGATATAATGCCCGTAAGCAGTATAATAACAAATATGAAGAAACTATTAAATCTTGTGTTTTAAATTATCCGTTTTTAATTATTGTGGTATTATTCAAACCAAACTGTAAACGATTACCAACTCTAAATAATATATAACGATTTTTTTAAGAATCGAATATGGTACATTCCCATTTTTTGGTTTGCATACTTGGTGTAATAAGTCTGGCAGCTGTCAAAATGTATTTCTTAGATTTGGTTCATCTTTGACTAGAGAAGAAAGAAAGGACATGACATAAAGATCGTTAGTTGTAGGAATGTTACGAAATATCGGCGTCTCTTTTTGGCTTATGAGTATGTAAAAAAGGACAACTGTAGTTTTGTCATTATTGAATATGGCAACAATGTTTTTGCTGCGGCCGGGCGCCATGTTTTGTCACAGTCAATGACAACTATGTCAGTTGTCATTGCGACTTAGTGAGGTGAGTGTGTTATTTTCATATGCTTCTCTCGCGGAATTCGATTATTACGAAATTTCTTGTTCTATTCCTCGGGACCTCAAAATCGGGATAAAAAGTATCCTATATGTTAAATTAATAATCCAAACTACAAACAATCATTCAAACGTTTGCATTTATTATAGTTTGATTAGTGTGAGTATGATGACTGAGCCTAATTTATTGCCTAACAAACAAACAAAAATTCTTTAATTAGTATTTCTTGTTTAGTAATTCCCGGGAAATAATTGTAACTTAATAATAGATTTGTTAATGATAATGACATTTAAAAATGTTTCTTAATAATAGATTTTTTAGACATTATAAAAACAAAAAAAACGACTGCTTAAAAGTAATGAACTGGGAACATAGGTATAACTTATATATGTATTTCAATAATCTCCTCTTAATTTCCTTTATTTTGATACCCCTATAAATATGCATAAGTTATATGTTTAAATTTAATCAGGAAAAATAAATTGGTTTAAGAAGTTTTTGACAGGTTAAAAATGGGCAATGTTTGTATCTGACCTCGTGCAGTAGTATATGAAAAAAAAATTGTAAATATTCGTAGCCTAATCATATTTAAACGAAACCAACAAATTGTTTTCAATAAGTTTCGATACTTTATTTATCATTTCGTATACTTTCAGGTTTTTAAGAAAAATTTAATAAAAAGCATAGCTTATATCAAGAAAAATACAACGCAATAATAATGCTGCTTTCAGTGAAGTCAATGTTAATTGTAATTACCCCCGGTGTCGAAAGTTGCTGGAGGATTTTATTGCTTTCGTCTGCCATGGATATTGTCTTTCGAAATTAATTTGTGGCACTTGTTCAATTTCTGCAAATTACCTCAAAACATGAGGCAAGCTTGTTGGCGACGCGCCTATAAGAATATTTCAATTTATTAGTTAACCGATTACGAATAGCTTCTAAAAAGCAAATTATCAAGCAACAACATTCCGATAAGAAAATGCTTAGTTGAATCTTAAAGAAATATTGAATTAATGATATGAAGGTCTTGGGTTCGACTCCCAGGCCGGAATAGTTTGTCGTTTTCTTAGTAATATCTCTTAATAAATTCATATAGGGAATATTTAAGATATAAATTATGTTACCGAATTTGTTCCCCGGTTGAAATCATCTTTCCAATAATGTTAATTTAAAGAAATATTAAAATAAAGTAAGAGACCAGGTTTTGTTCCCCGGTCGAGATGACCGCTGTGCATAAGTAGAATTAATGGAAATTAATTGCATAAGTATTGTCTTATATGAGTTTGATATGTTTTGTATGAAAACAAATGCCTATTTTCTATGATTGATTTATGAAAACATTCACTTATATTGTTTGATAAGAAACATGATAACTGATAAGAATCTGATTAGAAATAGTTTTCGGCGTTTGAGAATTGTATAGAATCATTTATTCACCTAGTATTGTTGATATTAGTGTATACTAAACTTTTCATTTTTACTGATAGTCGATAGCCGTGCAAAAGTTAGTTGTTCAAATAGTGTGAGTTCATAGACGCACGCTAGCCACGTACTTACGAGGCCAAATATGTAGAAATTTAAATATTTTCAAATTTCAGCAACTTATGTAAAATGACTTGTAAAACATTTCAGATTGATTGTACGTGTAAAAGAGGTGAATTCTGTGTTATTTTATGTGAAAATTCCTGTGAATAAGTGAAATAATGATAGTTTTGTATAAGAAATTTAAAAGTGTTTTAATAGTGAAATGTATAGAGAAAATGTAAATTAAACTATTGTATTAGTTAAGATATGTATAATTTCAAGTAGAAAACATTGTTTTAACTTTCTATGTTAAATATTTAAGAAATTCCAACTTTGAACATGTGAGTAAAATAAGCATATTTTGTTAAATAAATAAAGGGTTTTTTGTGATATGAAAATGTAATGTATATCGTAGTATAGATATTTTTCTGTGCTATCTTTATAAGTAAATTGTATAAATGTATGTCTTATACAAATAAAGTTATTGAGCAAACCGTGAGAGAGTGATAGTACAAATTGATGTAATTGAGTTGCGCAAGCGCACAAATGGCGCGGCTCACTTTCGCGTTTAGCTTCGAGGTAGTTCAGTAAATTGATTTTTCTTGCAAATCTAAACCTGCTACAATGCAGGTATAAAGTACGATCACGCCGTCAACCTCGGGGAGGCGATCAAAATCATCCCAAGCTCGATCGAGGATTTCCGTCAAATCACCCGGCTATTCACAGCCGAACGTGTCTCGTACCACACTTACGCTCTCCCTGAAGAGCGCAAAGTCAGGGCCGTCATCCGAGGCGTCCCCTTCGAGTTCTCCAACGAGGAAATCCTTGAGGACCTTAAGTCCCAAGGTTTCCCCGTAGAAGCAGTGCACAAAATGCACAGTAGGACGGGCAAGAGATTCAACCTTGCCCTCATCATCCTATCCAACGTAGAGGAGGCCAAAGCCAACTTCCGGCAGGTACGCACAGTGTGTGGCCTGTCGAGAGTGAAGGTCGAGCCCCCCACATAGGCGCGGTTTCCCGGCGCAGTGCCACCGCTGCCAACTTTATGGTCACGCGGCGGCCAACTGCTCCGCCCCACCCAGGTGCGTAAAGTGCCTCGAACCCCATAACACGAAAGAGTGTCCCCGGCCCAAAGACGCCGAATCCCCGCCTGAATGTGTCCTGTGCTAACAGACAGTTCATCCGGCTAACTACAGGGGTTGCCCACGCGCACCTCAACCTCGCCCCAGTAGGCAAGCTCCACCGCCGGTAAATGACCGCTCATTCCCGGCCCTCCAACAACGGCCCCGTCAGGGCCTTTCTCAGCCCATCCAGGGCTTCTCTCGACCCTCTCAGGGTCCCCCTAGGCCCCCTCAGGGCATAATTCAGCCCCCTCCGGGCTTCTCTAAGCCTATGCAGCCTCCAGTCGTTCCCTGGGGGCCCAAAAAGGCAGACCCACCGCGGATAAGCTCCTACTCCCATGAAGCGGAGCCCACACCCGACGACTACAACACACTATATTCCGCTATTAGGAATATTGACGTTAGGGAAATCACCGTTGTAGCACACAAACTGCGCGCGGCGAATTCCCCCCAAGAACGTCTCCTCGTTCTTGCAGAACATAACAATCTTTTGTTAGCGTTGTAAGTTAAGTTAACTTAATTAACTTAACTTCAATGTCAGTGCAAATTACTCTACCAAAATCTCACGGTCGTATCAAACCTAAGGGTTTATCGCTTGTATCATTTAATATTCGCGGCTGGCGAAATAACCACCCAGAGCTTAAGCTCTTTCTTCGGAATCGTGAAGTCGATTTCCTCCTCCTACAGGAAACTAATCTCAAAGCTAAGGACACTAGAGGCCTTTCTATTAAAAACTTCTGTCTTCGTAACGACAGACCCGACCGCCGAGGCGGCAGAACGGCCATCTATTACAAGAAGACACTTCATTGCTCACCCATTTCTACTCCGCAGCTTACCAACATGGAAGCCACGGTATGCAGGCTAGCTATGACTGGACATCAGTCCATCCTCATAGCCTCCTGTTACATCCCTTCAGGAACATATCCCCTCAAAAAGATTTTGAGGCCATTTTATCTTTAGGCAATTCAGTCATTATGTTTGGAGATTTTAACTCCAAGCATACTGAATGGACATGCCGCACTACGTGCGCAAGTAGTACGTGCCCCTAGTGGCAAGATACTGCTCGATATCACGCAGTCTCTTGATATTACCGTCCATAGTCCTCTCGGTGTTACTCACTTTCTCGATAACACCGATCACGCCCCCGATGTGTTAGATTTTGCGTTACTCCAAGGAGTTTCTCTCAACCTCAGCGCAATCGAGACACTAGACGATCTAGGATCAGATCACCGACCGGTCTCCCTCATTCTTGGCCATCAGCCACCTCCCCCAACACACACGAAAACCTTCACTAACTGGAAGGGTTTCAAGGAGTCCCTAGTTAAAGCTCTGGACTCACAGGACTCTACCATCTCCCTACCGTCGGACTTAGATAGTCCCGAAAAAATCAGCACCGCGGTCGATTCACTCTCCACCCTTATTAAATCCTCCCTTAAGGAGAACGAAAGGGTCGTCCCGGTTGCTAACAATAGTGGGCTTCCCCTACATATTAGCAACCTATTAAAAGCCAAAAAAGCTGCTTTCCGGAGAGCAGCAAAATATCCCACCCCCGAATATAGGCGCGCGGCCAATCGTCTTCAACGAGAACTCCGCTTCCGCCTCTCTGAATTTCGAGACCTCGAAAAGAGTAAGCTCATGGAGAATATCTCTCCATCTCACATAGCGTACTATCAGATGGCTAGAGCCCTCCGCATAGACGCTATCACCCACACTC